TTTTTTGTTTTTTTGATATTTCAAGAAAATAAGCTCATGACCCTGTATTCTTATTTGATATTTTGGAAGTCTTTATGAAAATAAATTCTCTCATTGAATTTTAACCAGGTCTATCGTTTAATGTTTCATCGATAAGGAAAAATTAAGTTTCTTCTATATAACCCACATAAAATAACTGAGATTTCGTTAATATTAATATAGTTTCACCAAAAAAATGGTCCGTGACATTTAGTTTTTTATTGAAATTTGAAAGTACATTGACCAAGAAGTCTTTTACAGAAGTTTAAGAAAAATCAATCGCCGAACATACACACCCCAGCTACCTCTAGTACAGAAAAAAAATTCTTTTCATCGCGAAAAAAATAAAGAAAAACAATTTATAGAACTTTTTGATTTCCTTGTGTTATTGTACCACATGGCGATATAGTCTGTCGAAGGGAAGAAAAAAAGCATGTTTTTAAAACGTTTTTGGAGGGTAATATTGTATATAGGGTGAATGTACATGCGGCAATATTATCAATCTCATGATATCCGGATAAACTGTGAACTATCATCCAGATATCACGGTTACCGAACGTTATCTTCTATACATCCTAAATCATACATGTAAGTATGAAAATACACAAGTGGAGACGGTGCATTTTATTCCGAACCCGCCAAGGGTCGACAATACCATGTTCAAAAGAAAAGAGGCAAAAACATTGCAAATAACAATTACATTGAGAAACAACATCCTACTTCATGTGTTCAACGATGAAATAACTCGTAATAAAATCAAGACGCGCGGAAGCTACAAAAGTGGTAATCTTTGATGAATTCATCAATTTTTTGGCAACTGTTTTGAATGGTTATTTTTGAAGATGGTATCATGATCTCCTTTTAGTAAGATTTGTCTCGCAATGCTTAGCCAAAACATCCATTTGTATTCATAGTTACATCGCGTATACAATACACTTCCATTTCATGTTTCATTCACAAACAGTTTGTAGGAATGCTAACTCTTAAAAAATGTCGCAATCGCGATCTAAATTCTACACCGTATGCCAAAATCTGTTTTAAGTTCGTATTCAAAGAAAAAATATTAATGAGTTTTCTTCTTAACACTTATAACTGAAACATCACTGAAATCACTTGCAAATCTAACCACATGGAAAATGACCCCTTTTAAAAGTATACAACGTCAACATCAAGGGGAGGTTAAACACTATCGTGACAAAATCTGTTATCATACATCACGGTATGATTGAATAAATCTATTGGCTAATGAAAGATCAAGTGGTGTGAATTAATTGAGATATATTCGTCCAATTCGGCAGGGCCGGTGAATAACCTCTACAAATTGTACCGTCCGGTGAATAACCCAGAGTTGATAATTTTGGTTATCCCCCTCCTTAGAGGGCCGTTATTCTATAGTATAAAAGTTTAACTCTGACAAAGACATCGTACACTTTTTATTTCATTTTAGGATACAAGGAGTTCAGATTCATGACTTTAGGGGTTATGAAAAAAAAAATTCTTGATATTTGGACAGAAAAAGTCACCTGATGTCCGCATGTATTGCGTAAAATATCTACAAGCAATAAAATCAAATTAGCTCTAAGAAGCGGTACTGTATGAATAATGCTTATCAGAATACCAGTCACTTATTTAAAATCATCAACATTATTGAGCTAAAAAAAAACAAAACAAACATAAAAAACTCCCCGAAAAAAAAACAATGGTTCTGTTCTGTTATTTGCAAGTCTAATATTGCATTATTCATGTTATTGTAGTTTGTAATTTGAAATAATGAAACATATCTTTTTTAAACATTGTTTGGAAAGCTAATTAACAAAAAAAAAATTTGACTAATTGGTTATTTATGTACATTGAGAATCGGATATCTCTATATTGCATGAACGATTAAATCAATATTGCAACATATTTCATAGATTGTTATACATATCTTTGTAATCATATACTGCTCATTAAGAAATGGTTATTCATTTGAAGTTATTTCCGTTTTATGTCATATTCTATTAATTTTGTACTACTGTAATTGTAACATGCACATAATAATTCCAATATATTCTTTCTTCTTCCAACATTAATAGAATTATTTTTCATGTAAAATGTAATTAGCTTAATGTTTCATATATGTTTATGCTTTGTAGCATATGGTTATTTCATGTTTTAGTTCAATGATATGCAGACGTGTACAGATGTAAATGTTTGTTTAATCTCTACTGTGAACTCCAATTATATTGTATATATTCTAATATTCCATTCAGTTACATTTGTTATGTTTTCATGGTTATCACAGATCTTGTGTGATAATGATTTAGTTACTAGTTAGTCTCTGTTGAAGTATAAATAAAGGTGAACTAATTTCAAGGTTCAGAAAAAAATCTACTAGTATCAGTGTTTTAAAAAGTTGAGGTATGCATTTCACTATATCGGAGTCTGTCATAGGTTATATCGTTTACTACAGACTCCCTACGAATCTATAAAGGTTCAGAAATCAATAGGGGGTGAGGCGAAGGGTATAACGATTTATCGTAAACTGGACTTTTTTTTTGAGAAATTGAATGCTTTTTATAATTTTTAGGGGGTGTAAAAGAGTTGACCGAAGCACATTTTGTATGAAGCATTTCATATTAATATTATATGCGCACGATCAACGCTTTTACAACCCTATAAAATTATAAAAAGAAGCATTCAATTCTTATAATTACATTTTTACGCTACAACTATGAAATTAAGAGTCAAGCTTTTCGTTTGTTTTTCAATGCACTATTTTAACACATTCTAGGATAGCAAGTGTAGTCAAAGCTTTTGTTTTTATACGGAAATAGATAGTGGAGTGCATATTGATTGTGGTCAGGCAATCAAAATTAAGGATTTTAATGAAACCTGCATGTTATGTAATTATTTGAGGAATGACTGTAATATTTTTTTCTGTCTATGAAGAAATAACATCAAAAATTCCATTTCAAAGGAGTAAATCATAAAAAAAAAATGTCTATGAGCTGATAGACAAAAAACTTTCACCCAATCAGAAGACGTGTTTACGAAAGCCTATTAGGGTCACAAAAAAAAATATTTATCTCGTCGTTATATTAAGGAAAGTGAATTATTAGAGAGTATTTGTTAAGGGGGATTTTATAAACGTGTCATGAAAACCAGGAGGAAGATTTGTAGACATAATATAGATAATTATCGCAACTCGGGTAAATAAGTGACGATGTGAATGGTTTAACAGCGTCACGTGGTGACCACCTATGGATTCATATTTCATAGTGATATCATTACTTCACGTCAACTTTTATTGGTATTGTATCTCATTGTTTATTTTTATATAATTTAATTTTGGATGTTTTTAATTTTTTTGTGTGACCCTAATAGGCTTTCGTACGTGTTACATTCAAAATCAAATTATATAAAAAATAAACAATGAGATACAATACCAATAAAAGTTGACGTGAAGTAATGATATCACTATGAAATTTACTGACTCCTTATGAATCCATAGGGGGACACCACGTGACGCTGTTTAACCATTCACATCGTCACTTATTTACCCGAGTTGCGATAATTATCTAAATTATGTCTACAAATCTTCCTCCTGGTTTTCATGACACGTTTATAAAATCCCCCTAAACAAATACTCTCTTATAATTCACTTTCCTTAATATAACGACCGACATTTACTATTAATGGTATAAGTCTGGCCGTATATACGTATATGTATTGAAGATTTCTTAAACTATCATATAAATATAAAAGGCCAGCAAAGGCAAATTTGTTAAATGATATTTTTTATTATTAAAAATTAGCATATGGCTTTTAAACCTAAATCAAAACTGTAATCTTTATTTGAATTAACAAATGTATATTTACAGCTGCCACTTATGTTACATTATTGTAAACAAAGGCTTGTAGGCTGATTATCATTAATGACACGCATATGATTCCTTTAAAGATGGATAGACGGATTAGTGTATAACGTCCAGTAGCAAATATTACAAATTGCATGTATTTCAGACGAGATAATGTTTATGTGATATGATTATGAACCCTGCTTTGTACTTAACCGAATAGCTGCGCCGTATGTTTATCATTCAGATTCTCAAGGCAACAGTCTGCAGGCAAATATATTTTTTTTAAACATGTAGCAAGAGCTGTGGTAACTGGAAGAAAAGCGAGGCTCGACAAGTTTTTCTCCAGTTTCGAAACGAGTACAAATACATTGTACGATTTGACATTGACGTTTAAATGTTCATTTTTTTATAATTCCCAGTCGTTTAGTAAATATATCAACATTTCTTAGACGCGGACTGCGAAGAAAACATCAACAATGAACTGTGACGTAAACGATCATTTGAATGTAATCATTCGCTCGCAACAGAAGCAGGATACCATGAGACTATATAAGTAAACTATACGTATATCGCTTCGTGTTATCTTTACACCTATATTTAAATTTGGTCAATTGCAAGATAAACACTATTTCGGCGACGTGTATAAATTATTTATGATATCAATATTTCCAGTTAGTCTAATTGTGTTGTCAGAAAAATGAATTGCAAATGTACACATTACAAGCTTTAATAAGTTAAAGTTTATGAATATTACATCCTTCCTTAAAATATGCAAATAGAGTCATAGAAAACAAAAGGACACAACATTCAAACAATAAATCAATTTAATACAAAGAACATACAATTTCCATGGCCTAACAGTTGTGCATTTTACATAATGATGATTTTTACATTTTTTCCCATAAAAAATTTAAAATATGTTTCCATTCATAAAAAAATTTGCAACAATTAATCAATATGCATGTTGGAAAGAGTATACTTTAGTTAGTGTCAATCAGTTCGCACGTCAGATTTCTTTACAACTAAAGCTTGATTGGTATTGGACAAAACAATCCTCCTCTCTACGAACTACCCTGTTTTTATTGATCATCATTAGTTAAACCAATATTAGATACAGACATAATACACTTTATTAGTGATTGGTAAAATAACATTTTCACTGCTGGACGGTGATAATTTTAAATATAATGAATGACATACGTTGAGAATCCGTTTACTAAATTTGGATGTTTTACTGTATGTTATTAACCGATGGACACGTTGGAAATATTAGAAAATTGTTTCCAATATATTTCATCACTTTTAACATAATACGACTACGTTTTCTTGATTGGTAGTTGAGGCATGATCGGACCAAGTTAAAACTTCTATAGGTGTCTTTTGTAGGCAGACTAAAAGTTCATTAACGAATCTTTGTGTTTAAGTTATAACCTAAGATAAGTGAAAAGGAATGGTGCGATGCTTAAGCTATCATAAAGATCTAATGACTTTGCACGGTAACTGTCGATTCTTAGATCACGGAAAATGATTTATTGCAAATGACATTCTAGCGTGATGCAACAGATTGATGGTAGTTATATACATATTGTTTTCTAAATGACGATAATTTGAAACTTAGAAGTGACAAACTAGATTCCTTGAGTACGATAACGGGGATTGCCGAACTGTTAATAACTCATTTAGTAAATATAGTCTTACCATACAGAAATGTTTTCGCCAATAATGATAATCACAACTTACTTTTGAAAAAAAAACATCTGTCAAAATTTCATGTGAAATAAACTAACTGAAGTTCAAAATGGAGAACAATTCGACAGTGGACTTTTATTACAGGGCTAACAATTACCCAGCTGGCTTTTGGATTTATGGAGTAATTTGTCCGATTATATCTGCTTTTACGCTGATTTTTAATATGCTTGTAATTGTAGTTTTTCTTAAGCGTAAAATGCGATCGCCAACCTCAGCGCTGTTAATTGGGTTGGCGGTTTCGGATATTCTTGCAGCCAACGTGATAAATATAGCGTTTGTTTACGTTCATGGATTTCTTGACGTTACCAAACCTCTACCGTATCCAATGTGCATTATTTACAATGTAACGTCAAAGTTAGCACCATCATTTCACACCACTTCTGTTTGGATTACAACTGCACTCGGAATTCAGAGGTTTATCATTGTTGCTTTTCCGATGCAGGGGCCTAGATTTTGTTCAATAAGAACGAGCACTGTTATAATAATAGGTACGTACGTTCTTTCATTCTTAATGTATATTCCGTCATTTTTACAAGGGCGGTTTGATCCGGTCACAATTCTTGATGAAAGTGGGAATGAAATTACCGTCTGCAACTGTACGAGAGGACAAGAGATCCTTTCAATTAATAAACTTCAAAACGTACTAAGAAGTGTTTTCGGACAACTCGTGCCGTGTGCAATACTATTCTTAACCACGCTTCTTTTGTCTAGAAAACTGAAACTGGAAACCAAGAGAATTCTTCAACTACATAAGCATGAAAATACAGAGACAGAAAGACGAGATTTCAGACAGATTCGGAGAACCTCTCAGATGATTATTGTTTTGGTCTCAATTTTCTTATTCGTTGAGATTCCAAATGGAATAGTATTTGCCTTATTTGTGTTTTATCCTGAGCTATTAGAATCCAACACAGAACAGATTCAAATATTATCTATTGTTCTAAATCTTCTTGTATTTATCATTTATCTGATAAATTTCTGGATATATGTTACACTAAGTCGTCAATTTAGGAGGGAGCTAAAACTTTTATGCGGACGAAAACTGTGTGGATATCGTGAGAAAATAAATATTGGAATGTCAACAACTTTCACTTCAATACCAATGACATAGTAAATATGAGTTAATTCAAATGTGGTTTGTTTTTGTTACCTTTTCTTTGAGTTTATTTGATGAAACGTATATAAAAATTTACTTAGAAATATTTGTAAGTGTTCTCTCATATTGTTCTATAATAATGCAAAGAATATGGAAGAAATAGAAAACAATCCCTATTTCAGATAAGAGAGTTGAAACGTAGAGACACAAATATACAAATAAGAATCTGGTTTGAAGTTTATAATTAGTCCGTAGTCTTTCATTGTGAATTTTATTTTAGCGCCACATTATTCTTAAAATATTACAAAACTGGTTCGTAGTTATATCTATTATAACATTTCCATAATATTCGTTAAAATTATTACGTCTTATTACTTCTATTGTTGAATGCCCCATTGAGTACCATGCAGTTACCAACAATATCTGGTGTACGCAGAAATTAGATGTACGATGTGGACATCCTTTAGTCCTATATATATTTCAATTTGTTTCACATTATAACCTCCCGATTTTATATTTCTGATCACCCGGTTTTATATTTGTAAAGCAAGTGTAAAACAATATGCAGTCAGTGTGGGGTTGTTGATATTGTGTGTACTGTGTGTATTGTGTGTACTGTGTGGTTATTTTGGAGATCCCTGTTATCCCTCCTATTGTATTAATCGTTTTAGATGAATTGTGATTGGTCAGAAGCTGATAATTATTTCACAATATTAGAATCTTCTCTAGCAACAAACCTATTATACAACTTTTATCCTTGAAAAAGGTAAAAAAAAAAAAACTATAATCGAGAAACAAAATTCTTTATTTTGTTCGTAATTTTTAGTATGTATACTCCAACAGTTAGCTTGTTGCTCAAGAGAATATGTCCATCACAATAATTTCTTTAAACAATACTGGTTATATTCTGCATAAAAATATTGTCATTTGCTACAAAATTTTTATGATCGAAGAAATGAGTTGTTCGGTCGTTTAGCATTTTCATAAGTGTATGTAGACAGATTTCCATAAACGATTTCATTATTTTAACGATTTTTACCTTCACCGATTCATTGAGACTATTGAAAAAAAGAAAGAACATACCTAGGAAAAAATTTGGAACCATAAGTAGAAGAAATAATAGACTACATGTCTGAAAACAAAACCCAGAAAAGTTCAACAAAACACTACACGAAGATTGAACAACACGAACCACTGAGCAATATGCCAGCTACAAAACAATATATCATTATATTGACTTTTCGGAACACTTATATCTGTAATATGCATGTTTTGTATGGAAATAAGTAGTAGGCCATCGTCTGAAGATGATGTATATATCTAATATGGACCTGGAAGAAGAACTGCTAAGTTAATTATACGTTATAAGTTTGGTCACGCAATTCATGAACTTTAAAGTAAATATGGTAATAGCAGCTTATATATAATACTACAAGTCACTTATTTTTAGAGGAAGAAACCGTTTTTGTTTTTTTGTTCGATGCATTTCTGTGCTAATCGATATAAATGCCAAACAGTCAAATATCAGATATATTTAATTAAACGTCTTAAACTACAACACGGGGACAATTTATTCGGATCTGCTACGTACATAGCTTAATTAAAATAAATGAATCGGTTAACCATTTCCAAATAACAGGAAATAGTTATTATTCCTAAGTGAATTGTGATCATAGAACTTCATAAAATGCACATTATTAGTCGGATAGTCGGAATATTTACTGCGACAAAATAAACATTTGCTGCATCGTAAATGTTATAAATCATTTGATATTGCGTCAATTTCTAGATCAAAACTCAGAAACTCATATATTTTAATTTATTGAATTTATTTTTGATAGTTTCTGATAGTAAGTGCAAAACAACTTTTTTTATTTGTTTGTTCATATAGTTTGATTTGAAGTATCGTTGGCTATAAACAAAGCAACACATTTAATAAATGATAATAAATAAGCTTCAGACCAGTTGTTTTCTGATTACGTCAAAGCCCTTTCTTTATATCTTGAAAGTCTTACGTATTAAATGCAAACTCCACACAATCGCTACTTGTTTTACATTAAAAAAAAACTCTCCAGGCATAATAAATCGTTATCGAAAATAGTCTGACAAGAAGAGCTACAATTTTGGATTAGATGGATGGAACCCAAGTGCCTTCAAAGATTACAAAATTTATAAACTGATATAGAAAGCTTTATGCACGAAACATATCTGAATGCTGAAGAAATTATACTCGTATTATAATGCTTACTGTAATTCCCAATCAAACCAAAGCGCTTTATATTCAAAGACAATTGCTAAAATTGAAAAAGCCCCAAAATGTTCTATAAAACAAACTAAAAATACATAATAAACAAAAAATGGGACATCATTTCAAGGTTTCAATGGCATTAATTCTTAGACGCATGATTTTTTTGGCTTTGAACTATCGTTAAGTAGCTGCGAGTACTCTCACATCTATACTTTGTGTCTTTTGTGTTTTTGTTAGGGTATTTATGTGCTTTTCATCGATCTGATGAGTTAAGCCCTTTTCAACTAATATTTATAGTTTGTTAATTCGTAATTTTAACCCCAGGTTAAGGGAGGGTTTGGCGCCAGCAAACATATTTAACCACTATTAAATTACAGCTTTAAAAAACAACTAATTTTATCATATCTGAATTTGGTAACATCCTCGTCCTTTGGTCTACGGTGGATAATTGTCTCATTTGGCAAGCTAACCACATCTCCTTATTTTGATTTGCATCTTAATAAATTTTCCCAAAAGCTTTTTTTTATTTTCCTTTTTATTATCATTATAACTTCATCCAATGAGCACAGTGTGTAGATATCACAGTTGTGTCGGTCCTTTAGAGCTAGTGTCCAATACTTTGAGAGGTGTATTAGAGGAAAACAAATGTGTATCATAAGCTGCCTAGTCCCATAGTATACTTTGTATCATCTGTACAAAGAGGTATAAGAGCTATTAAAACCCATTAGGGCAATTAAAATACCACGGCGAAGAATAAAATCGACAAAAAGACAAACAACTATTCCCAAAACATTACACAGAAAACTTAAGACTGATCAACACAAACCCAATACAAAATATGAATGCGGCTCAGATGCTCCGGAAGGGTAAACAAACCATGTTCCACTACTGGCACATCCGTGTTACTAATTGGAAGTACAAATTCAGTAATCATTCACAATAGAAGAAAAACAGTATAACACAAATATCAAAAAGAGGCTGGAATTGTGGCTACGACAAGATGGTCATATCAGTTAAAAGTTGGCATATAGGTCGTCAAAGATAAATGTGGCACAAATAATTGCACACATATTTCCAATAGTGTTCCTTTCTTTAATCAATTAGAACAAAAGGATCGACCTTTTACAGCTTTTCTATAAAAGCATGCAAAGCAAACCTTTGATCAACTTGCTTGCTATGTTTGTTTGGATGTTTGTAAACAACAGGTAGGTAGTCTATTTCAGTCTGTTTACTATATACTGGAATTTTTGGTTATATAGCTATCCACATGTGTCGGTTCTTATAAATCCTTGACTCTGAATTTGTTTTGTTTTTAGCATTCCGGATGAAGGTAAATCCAGAAAAAGCGCTTCGGACGCATTTAATTTCTAAAAAAAACTTAAGCTTCACCAATCTAGAGATTGAATTAACGAACCCTGCACTCGAATGTGTAACCCTATCATCGAGGCGGTTATATATTGATTTCGATATAAAAATTCGACCTTTCTCGAAAGTCGTTAAATATCAGACAATTATATGTTACAATTACAAGTTCGATTGTTGTGTAAGAAATTGTTCTGCATTTAAAGAGCTGCAAAATCATGGTATCAATGGTGTCAATTAGATAATATTTTACAATACTTTTTTAGAGAATACAAATTAACTCGAATTGCCTTTTAGTTTCTTTTTGTGATCAAATCAATATTACTATGAAAGCTACAGGCAAGTAGAGTTGGTAAGATCTGGTGAAATTTATTAACATTTGTGAAAATCGTGGTAAAAGCTAAGTTATAAAGATGACATATTTAGGATTCTGAAAGCTGAGAGAGGCATCAATAAAAAAAGAGAAAATGGTATTGTGTTAAAACAGCCAGATTCGATATATACATGTATATTTTGTACATACAATTAAGTGACATTGCAAGTTGGTGACGATGTATATGAGTCCGATTATGAAAAGGAAAAATATGGGTTTATTAGTCAATTTACAGAAATATACTAGTCAACAAAAGTAACGATACACAACTTTGAACTCCAATTTATCATAAAACATAATAAATAGGAAAAACTGTTAAATTATCCAATGAAAAACATTCATTTGCAAAGCAAATGCATATGATTAAAAGAATCTGACCAAATGGGAAAGGGAAAAATACCGTGTTATTAAACTCAGGGGTCAAATTTATTTTGCGGAAAATGATGACAAAAGTCGTCATTTAATTTTCGAAGATGAGAATTTTTAAGTATTCAAATATCTGCAAAGGCTTTCAAAATTTTAAGCAGACCATGTTTGCGTTTAAAGTTTTAAGTTCTTAAATCGATTTTTGAGTTTTTGATTGAAAATACGATAACTCTGTTAATATTAGACCAATTGGGCAATTATCTACCTTGGTACAGTGTATCCAATTTCATTATATATGGAAAATACATTGCCTTGTATTGTTTCCTTTGTTGACTAGTATAAATAAAGTAAGGAAGTTGCAGAAAGTTTGAGTTTTAACATTTAAAATTATTATCAACCAATGTTTGCCTCTTTTATTTATTTATGTACATACTATCAATATAGCATTGGGATCACAATATGCTCTTTTAGTGGTCCTGAATATATATGAATTAACGAACCCTGCACTCGAATGTGTAACCCTATCATCGATGTGGTTATATATTGATTTCGATATCAAAATTCGACCTTTCTCGAAAGTCGTTAAATATCAGACAATTATGAGTTACAATTTCAAGTTGGATTGTTGTGTAAGAAATTGTTCTGCATTTAAAGAGCTGCAAAATCATGGTATCAATGGTGTCAATTAGATAATATTTTACAATACTTTTTTAGAGAATACAAATCAACTCGAATTGCATTTTAGTTTCTTTTTGTGAT